AAAATTAACATCAAGAGTCAGACACGCAGACATCTGTGAGAGTACTGTTATTTTACAATTTATTTGAAACTACTCCATCTCAGGTAGTAATTCATTTGTAGCTGAGTGAAAAAGATAAGTCGTTATTTTCAATTTCGGAATATAGAAAGATCCAGTGAAAGGACTCTCACTGTAAGAACTGATAATGGTCCGTTTTATTCTGTACGCTCATTTATACATTGTTCACATCATTGTTTACATCTCTAGTGTTATAGACTATGTACAGAGATCCAACTTAAGTTTGTTCTTTCTTCCTATCTAGTGGCACATCTGACAAGCGTTCTCTATGGCTGGTGATAATCGTGACTGTATCTCTCAGCTTTGAAAATAGGGACTTTAAGATACCTGGACGGCTGACCTCGAGGACGGTAATATTAGGCGCGGAGGACTGGGCCGAAACCGACGTTCTTGGGGGGAAACTTTCTACGTTAAGGAGCGGGTTGTTTGAACGGAGGACGGTAGCGAACCTGAAGTTTCTAGCACTGTTCGTAAATCATAGCATCTTTTTAAAAGACTCGCGAAATGATTGTTATTGCTTACGCAGAAAAGCTACCGACCGACGAAGAGTTACTGTTTCTGTAAGAAGCTAATAAGCCAGTTAATTTGGAGCTGTCTTACTTAAAATCACAATTGGAAAAAAATTGGCGTTTATGGCTGAACATTTATGGTGAATAGCAGTAATTTACGTGATACATAGAGTGAGCAAAATAATTCTGGAAACAGAAGCCAGAAAATTCAATTTCATTCAAGTTTAGTTGACATATTCGCCATCACTGCGAAGCACAGCAAACAAACACTCATTAGCGACGGTATTTTACATTTCAATTTTTTAACTTTTGTTTATCAAAACAAGAAATAACAGTAAGGACAGCCTTATCAATTGAAAAATATAAATTTTAAAAGAAATGCTAGTCAAATGTACCTACGTTCACTTGTGGACGACAAAACTCCAATTCTGAAGTCCTCGACAACAACTGGACGGCAACACGTGTTGTGCAGACATGCGCAATACAGTCTACACGTGTAAAATTACTTCCGGTCAGCCCTCCTCTGAAACAGCCGTCCAGGTATCTTAAAGTCCCTAATATTCTTTCGAGTGAAGCCAACGAGGGATCTAACTCCATGGAATGCAAAGTGCTTATCTGATTGTCACCTTTGCGGCTTGTCTTACTTCACTATCTTACTTCACTATCTTACTTCATTATTTAAGAAACAAAGAAATATAGTCAATAAGCAAATACGCTCAGCTAAGCAAGTTTATTACCAAAATAGTTGTAATAAGCACACCAGCGACTCCCGAAAGACCTGGCAGACTATAAACGAGCTAACTTCTCGAAAATCTGGGAAAACGCCAGTGGCGTCACTAAAAGTGAACGGATTAACGATAACTAATCCGTTGGAGCTATCAAACGAATTCAATAACCACTTTGCTAATATTGGTCCAAAACTTGCCAGTGAGATAAATTGTGATAGTGGTAGCTATCAAAGATATCTTACCGCAACAGATAAACGGTTTAAGCTCCAACCCACCAATCCAACTAAAGTATTTTCACTTTTAAATAAACTAGACAAGTCAAAGGCAACAGGCCTTGACAAAATATCTGCTAGG